TCTGCCAGCTGAGGGAGGGAACATCAGTGCTAGCTTCAGGCTGTTTCCCATGGTGTCTCCTGGAGCCCAAGGGAGTCCTGGAGGGAGCCCAGAGGGGCAGAGGCAGAGCCACTTTGGGCTGGGCCTCTGCTGCTGAGCAGGGCTGGGCTCCTGGGACACACACAGATGCTGGCAAGTGGGCAGAGCTGCAGAGAGACCTCTCTGCCCAGGAGTAGGGCTGGGGCACTGCCTGCAGGCGCCCAGGGGAGACCTGAGAGCCTCAGAGAGCTTAAAGGCACTTGGCAGTGGAGGATGCCGAGAGCTCCCTGCAGGAGAAACCTTCCCAGCCCTGTGCACGGTAAGGCTCTGGGTGCAGGGCAATGCAGCTGCAGCTCCTGGAGGGATCTCCTCAAGCTGCTGCCTTGCACAGACCACGGGATCTGTCAGGAGGACTCTCTTGGTTTCTCTGTGTAGATAAGGAGGAGGATGTGCTGCAGAGCAGGGCTTCCCTGTGCACCATGGGAGGGACAGGACAAGGCAGGTCCCTTGTCCCGGGGCTGGCTGCAGGGTGTGGATGTGGGTGTGCAGCCAGGGATGCCCAGCGATGCCCTTGTGAGCAGGGTCCCTGCAGCCCAGGGGCTGTGGGCCGGGGCAGGGACTCTGCTGCCTGCCAGGGTCAGCACTCAGCCTGCCCGGGAGCTCCCCACGGTGCTGGGGAGGAAGCTGTGGGGGGAAGAAAAAGTGTTCTTGTGCACTGGAGAGGGTGATGTGTGGGTCAGGGCTGCTCAGAGCTCCACATCACTCTGAGTATGTTTGCAGAGTCCTTTTGAAAGACACTAAGGGAGCGTTTGTCCTTGAAGGACGATACTGGTCTGTGATGTTTTTCACTCTTGGTGGGCAGGTTGGGCAGTGGGAGCTGGGAATTTCTCTGCTTTGAAGAAGGCACCGAGAGTCTTGTCAGGAACTGTCTGAGCTGCTCCTGAGCCCCTGCACAGGCAGAGATGCTCCTGGGCAGAGCCCTGCTGCCGGGAGGGGTGTGCAGGGCAGAGCTGAGCACACAGCCCATGGTATGGGCTCTCAGAGCACTGAGAGGGAGCAGAGCTGGGCACAGAGCAGCAACTCCTAGCAGGGACAACTCCAGGCAGCAGAGACATGGGCAGGGAGTGGGGGCACAGTGCAGCCCAGCCCTGGGGAGGGTGCGTTCAGGCAGCTCTCTTGGTGTCTGGCACTGGAGGTGGCTGCTGGCCATGCTCTGCAGGGCAAGGAGCTGACTGTCTCGCTAGAAAGTGCAGGGCAACTGAGAACCAGACTCATGGACTCTGCAGCAACCTTCAGTAGGCACTAACCCACAGACAGTTGAGCCATCTTGTCTGTCCCATGCTAAGACTCTTCACAGTTGCCTTCAAAACCTTTGGAGTTTTACCCCTAAAAAAGTCACTTGTCAGCTGTGTCACTGGGAAAACAAACAAAGCAACCAACCTCACAGACAATCATGACCAAGTCATGCTCAGCCTCTCATCTGCAGCCTGAAATTGTTCAGAGTTGTGAGTGTGTAAACTGAAATCTATCTGGCATCCCTCCTGTCCTAACCTGTCACTGCCTCTTTCTCCTCTGACGGTGCCCCATGCCCAGAGGCAGCAGATGTCCAACAGCAGCTCCATCACCCAATTCCTCCTGCCATTTGCAGACACACGGGAGCTGCAGCTCTGCCACTTCTGGCTCTTCCTGGGCATCTCCCTGGCTGCGCTCCTGGGCAACGGCCTCATCATCACCAGCACAGCCTGCGACCAGCACCTCCACACCCCCATGTACTTCTTCCTCCTCAACCTCTCCCTGCTGGACCTGGGCTGCATCTCCACCACTGTCCCCAAATCCATGGCCAATTCCCTCTGGGACACCAGGGCCATCTCCTACACAGGTTGTGCTGCACAGCTCTTTTTCTTTATCTTTTTTGTCTTAGCTGAGTTTTATCTTCTCACTGCCATGTCCTACGACCGCTACGTGGCCATCTGCAAGCCCCTGCACTACGGGACCCTCCTGGGCAGCAGAGCTTGTGTCCACATGGCAGCAGCTGCCTGGGGCACTGGGTTTCTCAGTGCTCTGCTGCACACAGCCAATACATTTTCACTGCCCCTCTGCCGAGGCAATGCTGTGGAGCAGTTCTTCTGTGAAATCCCCCAGATCCTCAAGCTCTCCTGCTCACATTCCTACCTCAGGGAAGTTGGGCTGCTTGTGCTAAGTTGCTTTGTAGGGTTTGGATGTTTTGTTTTCATTGTGGGGTCCTATGTGCAGATCTTCAGGGCCGTGCTTAGGCTCCCCTCTGAGCAGGGACGCCAGAAAGCCTTTTCCACGTGTGTCCCTCACTTGGCTGTTCTCTTCCTTCTTGTCAGCACTAGTACCTTTGCCTACCTGAAGCCCCCCTCCATCTCCTTCCCATCTCTGGATCTGGTGGTGTCAGTGCAGTACTCAGTGGTGCCTCCAGCAGTGAATCCCCTCATCTACAGCTTGAGGAACCAGGAGCTCAAGGATGCTGTGAGGAAGCTGGTGACTGCAGGTGTTTCAGCAGCCATACACTGCCTGCTTTCCTCTAAAAAGGGCTCCCAGTGTCGGTCATGACAGGCCATGTCTGTCTTTCCTGCTTTATATTTGTTATCCTGTTTCAATTTATGGTGATGTTGTCTTCATTGAAATGTCAATTTTCTTCTTCTTCTCCTTTAGTAGACACTCGTGTTGTGTGAGTGTGTGTCACCGTGGGTCTCTCATTGTATCTAAGGGAAATAAATGATCCTGCAGCAATTTCTTCTCTGTGATATATGCTCACATAGCAGGAATGAAGGGGAATGACATCAGCTTTCTGGCTGCTCCAGCTCTGGGATGGCTGCTCCTTGCCTGGAGCAGGATGAACTCTTGAGGAGCCCAAGGGCTGGGGCTGTTGTGCTGGTGTGGGGAGATGGGATGGCATGGGGGGGCTTCAGAGCTCTCAAGGTGTCCTGGGCAGGAGAGCAGGGGACTCCCCTGCAATGGCATAGGCTGGTGCTGCCTGACTGGGAGCAGCCCATGGGAAAGGTTTGGGCGGGCAGGAGCTGGACCGGAGGCAGCGTGTGCCCTGGCAGCAAGGGAGGACAGCAGCATGAGAGGACAGCAGGGCTCTACCCAGGGACATCTCTGCCTGTGTAGGAACCTCACACCTGGCACTCAATGCATCCATCAATGATGAGTGGCGAAACATGGTCACCCCCTGAGGAAAGCCTTGAGTGCTTCTTACCTCTTCAGTTAGTTACTGGTGGCAAGGAGCAGTGTGTAGGAAGGTGAGAGAGAGTGAAGTCAGCAAGAAGCAAGGTGATGGTTCAGCGCTTTAACAAATCCTTGCAAGCAGGACGGAACCCATCAATGAAGAGCAATTGGTGTCTGTGGGTGGAGGAGGAGGAGGTCTTCCTGGAGTGTGGCTGCAGGCCCTGGACAAACCAGAGTCCATCTGAAGTTTCCCTCATGGGAACATGCCTCAGCGTGGCACGTGGGGAATGCCCACTGCTGGGAGTGCCTGAACACTGCTCATCATGCCCCATGAGCCCACCTTCCTGTCTCCCTCTCCTGCACTACCCAAACTTGCCTGGAATGCAGGATCCATCCCTGAGTGTGGAGAGTGCAGGAACCTCCTGGAGTGAGGTGTCGTTGCTGCAAGGGAAGTGCAAAGCTTCTGTGAGACACTTGTGAGTGTGGGCAGAGAGGGGGCGTGCGCAGCAGAGGGGGTGCTACAGGCAGGAAGCTGTCCTAAATGAGGTGACCTGTCCCCAGAGCATGGGATACCTCGCATCCAGGGACACCAACATTCCTTTTGGCTCTTGCCAAGAAGTTCTCAATCCAAACCACTGGCTTTTCCCACTGCTCTCCCATGGTGCTTATTTCTCTATACTGATGGCATCACCCATTCCTCTAGAAGCCTCCTTTAGATGGCCTTGCAGAGGGATATTCATCCCACCTGCTGAATTGACACTAGAGTAGCAGCTTACAACTTCCTGAAATGTGGCTTCAGAGATGATGGAGATCTTCTTGCTAGTGGGAAGAGAAGGAAACCTCTTCAAAGTGCAGCCTGGAAGGTTCAGACTCAAAGTTAGGAAAGAGAAATGTCTCTGAAAAGGTGGACTTGTGGTGCAAGAGGAAACCCAGAGGGAGTCTGACTCAGCCCATGATTTCTGTTTCAAGGACCGGACAGGGATGAGTACAGAGATATGACTGAAGGTACAGAAATGCCAGGTGAGATCTAGGTGGGAAAGCAAGATGGGGGTCAACAGCCTGAAGGGAAAGAGGTGCAGGCATGGGCCAGTGAAGGACAGCCTGCAGCAGAGATGACTGAGGGTTGTGGCAAGGCTGAAAGGCCCAAAAGAACAAAAGGCCTCTGTGCCCTGGGCTATGGCAGTTGCCTCTTTCATCAAGGCCTGTGAGGAGAACTTCCATTCTCAGGATTTCAGGCGCTACATCTCCAAGGGCTGTGGTCAGAGCTTGGCCTTTCTGCTTCATCCAACAATGGTTTTCTCACCATCAGACACCTGCATTTTGCCTTTGTCTATCTGTAATCACAGCCTCCAGTTACTTGCTTTAACGAGTCCCTGGGGAGACTTTGTCATTTACAGGCCTCAGTGGGGCCCATTAATGCTGAAGGGAGTTGGGGCTTTGTTTCTGACTTGGACTTCTTGAGAGTTTTCTTCAGTCTCCTCTCAGCATCTGAGGTTCATGGACTCAGCCCAAATACACCATGGGGCTCATTGAACCCTGATGAGCCTTGTCTCACCCTGTGGATTTTGCCAAGTCTTCCAGATTGTCTTGCAGTTAGTTGAGGAGGTGTCCACGTTCAGGAAGATTACAAAGAGCATCTGATAAAAGTTATTTGAAAGGGTTTATTTTATCACTTTATATTTTAGAAATTTCTATTCCTTTGCCGCTGATCCCGAGTGCCTATTCCAGAGGACTGCACAGGCAGGAAAAGCAACCCTTAAGGTCCAGCGTGGCACTGAGCACCTCACTCCTCACCTCCCCATCCAACATTGCTTTCATCGTCCACCTGGGACTTGCAGCACTTCTCCTCACATCCAACGTCTCCACTGCAGCTGGCAGCTGGATGATGCAGCTCCTGTGCACCAGCTCCCAGCCTGGCTGCCGTAGAGTCCTGCCTGCACAGGGGCACAGCAGGATTGTTCCTCTGGGCAAGCAAAGCAAAGGAAAGCATCACAAGTGTCCTACATGCCACAGAAAATATATGGACTCAGTCAGAGATCAATATGATCAGACAAAAAGCCGTTTATTACAAAGCCTTAACCCCTTAAATACTATTTCTTACATGCACTTGCAGTGATTTGGCATATTATGATTGGATACATGTCTTGAAGACCCTTTGCAACTAGCATATAATTGGTTAAGCACAGGTGTGGGAACTTGACCTCAAAAGCTTGCCAACAGTCCACAGTTCTCATTACCTCAGTGAATTCCAGCTTCTTCTTATCTTGCTTGCTTAAGCTTCCTTGGGCCTCTCACGGCCTTCCTGTATCTTTCAGGATTATTCAGAGTTTATGTACCAGTTATCCACTCTCCTGTGAGAACACTGCCTCCACATCTCCCCCTTTTTGTTTTATATATGTTTTGGATGACCCTACTTGAGCAGGGGATTTGGCCTAGATCGTATCTCCAACATATGCCAACTACAGGCTGCTGGGCCTGCCCCTTTTTTCTGCTGTATGGCTCTCTGGTAACAGGGGAGGCCATCCTTCACATCAAGGTCTGGCATGGCATGTGTCCCCACCGCTCCACGCCTGCTGGGTTGCAGCCAACAGTGGAGCTAAAGGTTCTTCTTGCTGGCAAACACAGAGGCCAACCCAGTCTTGCCCTTGATTGTGGTAGCAGGCCTTTTGTTAGCCTCAGTCCTTGCACTTTGTTGTCAATGCACAGTTTCACCTGCTTCATCCAGTACCAAGTCGCTACTACAGCAAGGCACACACACATTTACATTAGCACAGTAACTATTACAGGGTGCAGCAGCATGTTGAAGATGCTGATGGCAGCGAGGGACTAGCCAAAGAAATTTCTTACCACTGGAATTCTCCCACCCTCTTAATTTGTTCCATCACCTGCTTTATAACACTACCATTGTATTAAAGTCTTTCTAGCTTTTGCCTTAGCATTTTCTAGCAGCTACTGCAAATTTCCATATGCTAACATCTCTTACAAGTGACAAATCTGTACAATACAAGGTGCAGTTTCTTATTAGCAACTAGCTAGTAAATACAGGTGGTTTTATACACAAAATCACAACCTCTAATAATAGCTACTTTACAAGCACACATATTGTCCTGGGTTCAGCAGTAGCAGTCATGTTTTTCCTTTGTGTTAACTGGTGCAGTGCTGTGTTTTGACTTCTAGTTTGAGAACAGTGTTGGTGAAGCCGATGTTGTCGGTTGTTGCTAAGTGATGTTTACCCTGACCAAGGACTCTGTGAGGCTCATGCTCTGCCAGGGAGGAGGGGAAGCTGTGAGGAAGCAGAGACGGGGCGCCTGACCTGGGCTAGCCGGGGAGGTATTCCATACCACAGCACGTCATGCCCGGGGTGGGGGGTAACTGGGAGTTACCCGGAAGGACAGGGGCTTCCGGGTGGAACTCGCTTTCTTGGCCGGTGGTATCGTATTCTCTTCCCTTGTTATTTTCCCTTATCATTGTTTTAGCTGATAGTAGCGGTGGTGATTTGTTGCTGGACTGTTCTTGTCTCAACCCGTAGGAGTTGCACTCTCTCGATCCTCCTCCCCGTTCCTCCGGGAGCGGGGAAGGGGAGAGCCCCGGTGCAGGGGGGGGGGGGAGACGGACACGGACCTCGATTGTTGTCAGCTCGGCACCACTCACTGGGAGTGAGTGAACAAGTTACCTGACTGGGTTTAAACCACGACAGTTTTTTTTTCTGGCGCCCAACGTGGGGCACGAGGGGTTGAGATAAGAACAGATCTGACTGGATTGATAGTCACTCGTCACAATGCTGATTTATTGGCTCTCGAGGTTTTTCCTCTTGATCTCACAGTTTCAGTATATCATATCTTACGTCCATCCGGTATTGGCTGTATTAGTGTTTTTCAAGTGTGGGGCTTGGGCTAAGGTTTTTATCCCATTGTACTTTATGGTAATGACTTGTAATACAATAGAATCATTGATCATGAAACTGATCTGGCTTATGTTCCCAGTGTGGTCACCACCTTTATACTTTGGGAGGTATATGATGGAGGTGCTTAGCAATTACACATCTTTTTTCTCCTTCTCAGGTGCTCAACCTGTGAAGGAGACATCCTTTTACCCTCCTAGTCGTCCCCCCAGACCATTTACATTTGAGAGTTTTGAATTTTTTTGAATGGCCTTTTAATGCTGTTGAGACTTGTTTGCTGATGGTGATGGGAATCACCATGCTAACACGCATACAGAGTGTGTTTTGCCCACTACTGATTTCAAGAGTTAAGCAGATTCAGGTTTGGGTCTTGTCTGGGGTCAAACGACAATGTAGGAGGACCGAGAGATTTTCCCTGAGGCTGGACAGCCATGAGTGGCAGGGTGTGTGGGATAGTATGGGCAAGTATCTAAGTCAGTGGGCCCCTCCAGTACTTTGGAATTTCACTACCAAACAACTGCAAAATCCAGAAGAATTAGTAAAACACTTAAATGAGGTGTGTGGTCATTCTGGCCATACCAGAGATGGACAAATCACGGCAACGTGCTGGGGCTTGGCCTATGCTTACAGGGCCTTGTTCAACACTATCCAGCACCTTCAAAAGGAAAAGAATATCGGCGGATTTGAGGGCAAAGCGACAGTCGCTACTCAAACTTTGGCTGCAATGAACTGCGCAGCTACCCCAGTGGCAAGTACAGCAGCTGCTCAAACTTCAACTGCAACAGACAGCGCGGTTACCCCAGCTCCAAGCACAGTAGCTACACTACCCCCAGCAACAAGTACAGTCGCTACTCAAACCACAGTGATAATCACTGCAGCCAAACCAGAGGACCAATTCGTACCAATATCAGTTGCCCCTGTACGCAAGAGAACAAGCAAAAAGGAGGCAAAAAGGGTGAAGCGAGATGAAGAACCAATGAATTCACCACCCGGTCCAGAATCTGATCAGGAGTCATCATCACATGACGAAGAAGAAGAAGAAGAGGTAACTTCTCGACCTCGGACCTCAACCGAGCTGCGGAATATGCGAAAAGATTTTACCCGTCAACCAGGGGAGCACATCATCACCTGGTTACTCCGATGCTGGGACAATGGGGCCGACGGTCACGAACTAGAAGGTAGAGAAGCCAAGCAGCTGGGATCACTTGCTAGAGAAGGGGGAACTGACAAAGCAATTGCAAGAGAGAAAAAGTCCCTCAGCCTTTGGAGGAGGCTCTTGGCAGCTGTGAAAGAAAGGTTTCCGTACAAGGACGATGTTACGAGTCGTTCGGCCAAGTGGACTACTATAGACAAAGGCATCCAGTCTCTGAGGGAATCGGCCATCGTAGAGATGATCTATCACATCAAGCCGAATAACGGGGATACACCTATAGATCCAGATGAAGTTGAATGCACACGACCCATGTGGTGAAAACTTACACGGAATGCACCGTCATCATATGCCCATTCATTGGCAACAGTGACCTGGAATGACATAGTACCACTAACAGTGGATGAAATGGTTCATAAACTCCGAGAGTTCGAAGACAATCTCACCCCTTCCATCATCTCAGCTGTGAAAAAACTGTCCCAGGACCTCGAACAATTGAGGGACGATCTATCTGATTTATCCAGCTCCTCACGTGTACCAACACACGTCTCAGCTATTAACAAAAGGCGTCCTATTGTTCAAGAGAGGAGATACAGGAGGTATACGCCACGGGGTACCCTATGGTTTCACCTGCTGAATCACGGAGAAGACATGACAAAGTGGGATGGAAAACCTACTTCAGCTTTGGAGGAACGGGTGAGTGAACTGAAGAGGGGAGCAAGGGCCAAGACTGATCGTCCCATGAGATCTATGGCTTCAGTCTCTGGTGAACAGTTTCCCAGACGGAATGGAAGAGCTGATTTTACTCCAGCTCCTGTGATAACGAAGAATAATCCCTTTCACCACGACTTAAGTGTCCAATACTGTGATGACCATTAGAGGGGCCCTGCCTCCAGCCAGGTGGAGGTAGGGGACAATCGGATTCACTGGACTGTGTGGATCAGATGGCCTGGCACATCAGTCCCACAGAAGTATAAGGCTCTAGTAGATACTGGTGCACAGTGTACCCTGATGCCATCAAGCTGTCAAGGGGTGGAACCCATCTATATTTCTGGAGTAACAGGAGGATCCCAAGAGTTGACTGTGCTGGAGGCTGAAATCAGCCTGACTGGGAGGGAATGGCAAAAGCACCCTATTGTGACTGGTCCAGAGGCTCCATGCATCCTCGGCATAGACTACCTCAAGAGAGGGTACTTCAAAGACCCAAAAGGGTACCGGTGGGCTTTTGGTATTGCTGCTTTGGAGACTGAGGAAATTGAGCATCTGTCCACCTTGCCTGGTCTCTCAGAAGATCCCTCTGCTGTGGGGTTGCTGAAAGTTGAAGAACAACAAGTGCCAATTGCGACCACAACAGTGCACCGGCGGCAATATCACACCAACTGAGACTCCCTGATTCCCATCCATCAGCTGATCCGTAGACTGGAGAGTCGGGGTGATCAGCAGGACCCGCTCACCCTTTAATAGCCCCATATGGCCAGTGCGAAAGTCTAATGGAGAATGGAGACTAACAGTAGACTATCGTGGCCTGAATGAAGTCATACCACCATTGAGTGCTGCTGTACCAGACATGCTAGAACTTCAGTATGAACTAGAGTCAAAGGCAGCCAAGTGGTATGCCATGATTGATATTGCCAATGCATTTTTCTCCATTCCTTTGGCAGCAGAGTGCAGGCCACAGTTTGCTTTTACTTGGAGGGGTGTCCAGTTCACTTGGAACCGACTGCCCCAGGGGTGGAAACACAGCCCTACCATTTGCCATGGACTGATCCAGACTGCACTGGAACAGGGGCAAGCTCCAGAACACCTGCAATACATTGATGACATTATTGTGTGGGGCGATACAGCAGAAGTCTTTGAGAAAGGGAGGAAAATAATCCAAATCCTGCTGAAAGCCGGTTTTGCCATAAAACGGAGTAAGGTCAAGGGACCTGCACAGGA